TGTTCCGCCTCGCCCGAGCGCCCATGTGCCCTTGGGACCCGCTCTACCTCGCCCGACGGCTGAAGGGAGACTCCGCCCGCCCGGACGGCCGAGGGCGACTCCGCCTCGCCCGACGGCTGGGCTCGGCTTCACCCGACCAGCCGGGGGGGCGACTCCGCCTCGCTGACGGGTGGAGGGTGACTCACGCCTCGACGGCATTTGGCTCGGCTTCACCGACCCCGTCGGGGGCGACTCCGCCTCGCCCGACGGCTGGAGGCGATTCCGCCTCCTAACGGCTAGGCTCTCGGCTTCACCCGACCCCGGGGATGCGCGCATCGCCCGCTCGACCCCGAGGGTTGGGCTCGCCCCGTTCGACGGCCGGGGGACAACTCCGCTTCGCCCGGCGGGTAAAAACTAGGTTTTACCTCATCCGAACGACCAATGACGAATCTCGCCTCGCCCGATAGCCAGAGGCTAGCCCAGTTTCACCTAACGAACCGCGCCCTGTACCCTCATGATGGCGATTGCGAGGTAAGACAAGACGTTCGGGTCAACCGCGGCGTTAGACGCCATGCCCTGCACCCTGCAGGGAAGTACCGTCGAGATGTGACCAAAGCGGCGCTTGGACCCCTCCGCCGTGGCGAGCACGAAACAGTGTTGTAGGCGCCGCCTTCACCTCGACGAAGAACCCGACGCAGACATCGACAACCACTACGTTCCAAGGGCAAACCAACGATCACGGCCTCCCGACCCCCCCCCCATGGGGTCGGGGCTCGGCAAATTCTGTCCGACACGCCGCCCGTAGGGGTGGGATGGGACGTACCCACTTGCTAAACAGTGGCCGTGGCGTGGCCCACGACGGTCTACAATCGCCTCAATCCTAACACGATCTGCCATGATGGGCAGATCAGGCGTGGGGAAGAAGGAAGGACCGGGTTCCTCGAAGGACCTTCTATGCTCTTAGTGTTTTCTTCTTCCCCGTCTGTAAAAAACCCTGCTCCCCCTTGATCTATAAAAGGGGAGGCAGGGCTCCCCACTAAGGGATCGATCAACCGATTCTGAACAGGTTAGCACACACACACGCACCACACGGCCGAGCGCCAACAGAGCTCTTGGCGTCCTTCCAATCACTCTATCAGGGACTTGGGGTCTCTCCCTCTCCCAACCGTTTGTACCCCCTACTACGAACCTCATTCGGTGCTAATAACATAAGCAGCAACAGACTGGACGTAGGGACATTCAGCCCGAACCAGTATAACCCTTGTGTCCTTTAGCGCACCATCCGGGCCTAACGCGAATCAATTACAAATTTACTCGCCGGTGTTTGAAACACCGACACTTTGGTAAACACATCTGTCCACACCCTCAGTATCCGTAAATTTCTTAGCTGACAGAGCTCCTGCATGAAGTTAGGTATCGACTCCACATCTTTGTGATGTCTTGCAACCTCTGCAAGGCTTGCATGTTCTGAATCCATCGGCAAATGCACACCAAAACTAGAAAAATAGATTGACCAACCATGCAAGGCGAAGAATACTTGATGGAAGCTTCTTTATATGAGTAACTCTTAAATCCAAAGTGTTTGTAAATACTCAGCTCTCCAATTTCTTGAGAAGCTCATTTATCCATGTTTGACGCAAGCTCAAGTACCTCGGTGCAAATAAACCGCATAGGTGTGCAGGTCCCTCACGACCTTCTAAATCCAAAGCACGCAAATGCTTCAACTTCGCAAACATGGGAGGCTATTAAGACCGTTCGAAACACCGAAACTGCACGGGCATGAGAATATATATCGATTCACCCGGATCGGTTTTGGTAGCAATGTCATCCTTGAACAAGAAGGTGTTGATTGTTGACCCTTGACGACGACCTCCCGCACAAATTCCGTGGCGCGGATGGATGATGGCTATGGCACGTGGCACGCGAGCCACGGACAATCGCCTTGTGAAGCGAGAGGAGATGGGGCCAAGTGCCGGAAAGCCATGAAATCATCGTTAGACGCCGAGGTCAATCTAATTCAAAATGCAAGTGTCGATTTTGCCGCTATAGTTGTAGGTCTCTACTTATTAGGCGGCCCGTTCTCGATGATACGATGAATTTGACTGCCGCGTCCGTCCGGTGCTCATCAAGGGAGCCCCGCATGCACCTGCCGAGGATCGTGACCAACATCCGTGCTCGTTGGACGTGCGTGGCAGCAGACGGCGTGATCGAGATGGTGGACTACAACAAGCGCACGCAACATTTTGTTGTGTTCATTGACACTTTATAAATCTGGCATCAGAAACTTCATTGACAACACGTACACTCATCAATGCTGGACGGACGGGGTGCATGCTTACACAAAATATATAAATCTGCCACTCTGGGCGTCATATCCGCTACGTGACAAATTACTATAAAAAATAATACTTATGTCGACAATCATTCGGGTTGGCTGATAAAACATAAATTAAATAACAATAACATGAACCACATATATAACAACCAATGACGGAGCCAGAATTTTTTTTTAGCTGGGGCGAACTCTATACACAAGCTACATCCTAATCAAAAGTACCAAACAGAACAATGCTTAGGGAGAGTACCACACAATTATCAGCACCTTCGTCGTCGAGCACTTGGTCATCCACGGTAGTGGAGACGCTGGGGAAGAGGTGCCGAGCACTCCAGCGGTAGAGCCGAGCACTCCTAGGGCAGTGCCGAGCACTTCAGAAGGGATGCCGAGCACTTCGGGAGGAGTGCCGAGCACTCCTGGAGGGATGCCGAGCATGCCAGGAGTGATGCCGGGAGGTTCTGTAGTGGTGGCGACCACTCCAGGACGGGTGCTGAGCACTCCCGTGGCGGAACCAAGAGGTCTTGCAGTGGCGCTGACCACTCCAAAACTGAGGCTGAGCACTCCTACAGTGGTGCCGAGCACTACAGGAGTTATGACGAGAAGTCCAGAAGTAGTGCCGAGCACTGCAACCAGGGTGCCGAGCACTCCAGGTGTTGTGCCAAGCACTACGGCGGAACAGGGAACTCCATCAATACTGATCGAGTTCGTCTCATCTCCAAGTGACATCACTGAGTTCGTGGTTGCCTTCCATGAAGGTGAGGAGGTGCGGTTCCGCAGGCTGGACAACATCGTCGGCGGCACAGGGTCCTCAGGCCTGGCGGGTAGGTTGCTCAATGACCCAGAGCTGCTGCTCGTCAGTGCATTGGAACCACCCACGTTCGCGCTGGCCGAGCGCGATGGAAACTGGCGACGGGTGATGCTGGAGGAGATGAAGGTGATCGAGGAAAACGAGACATGGCAGCTCGTCGATCCACCTCCAGGATGCCGTCCGATCAACCTGAAGTGGGTGTACAAGGTCAAGCGGGACGAGCTCGGCGCCATTGTCAGGCACAAGGCGCGCCTCGTCGCCCGAGGCTTTGTTCAGCGCGAGGGCATAGACTTCAAGGAGGTCTTTGTGCCAGTAGCGCGCATGGAGTCTGTCCGCTTGCTACTAGCCTTGACAGCAGCAAAGGACTGGCGCGTCCATCACTTGGACATTAAATTGGCCTTCCTCAACGGTGAGCTGGCGGAGACGGTCTTCGTCAGGCAACCTCTAGGTTTTGCCATCAAGGGAGAGGAGCACAGGGTGCTCCGACTGCGCAAGGCGCTCTACGGGCTACGGCAGACCCCACGAGCATGGAACGCCAAGCTTGACACCACGTTGGGCGAGCTTGGGTTTCAGCGGTGCGCAACCGAGCACGCGCTCTACACGCGGCGATGGAGGAAGGAGGAGCTCATCGTCGATGTGTATGTGGATGACTTAATCGTCACCGGCGCGCACACGGAGGACATCAACAGCTTCAAGCGTGAGATGGCGGCTCGTTTTTGAATGAGCGATCTCGGCGCACTCTCCTACTACCTCGACATCGATGTGAGACATGGAAAGGAGGAACTCACGCTCGGTCAGAGCGCGTCTGCCTCCAAGCTATTGGAGAGGAGCGGCATGGCTGAGTGCAAGCCATGCATGACTCTGATGGAGGAGCGGCTGAAGCTGACGAAGGCCAGCACCGCGGCAGGTAGATGCAACACTCTACCGGAGTATCGTCGGCGGTCTGCGCTACCTAGTCCACACGAGCCCAAACATTGCGTTCGCCGTGGGCTACGTCGGTCGCTTCATGGAGGATCCCAGAGAGGATCACTGGGCTACAGTGAAGCGGCTACTGCGCTACGTCAAGAGAACGGTGGATCTAAGGGATCATCTTTCCCAAAACCGGCGGGAGTAGGCTACAGCTCACTGAGTTCAGATTTGTCATCTCCCATACAGGACTTCGGCCAACGCAGGTGTCTTGTACTGTGTGTGTATGCTCTGTTCTCCCTCTTTTTCAACCTCTAGCCATAGTATGTGGGGATGAACCACGCTTGTTCGTGGTCGGCTTAGCTAGTGGGTGCTCGGTAACACTAGCGGATGCTCGACAAGACTGATGAGTGGTTCACTCACCTGAACCGGTAATCCTGTGGGCTAACAATTTTATCTCTGCTGAACTCAAGATTGAGCTCTCGTAGCTTCGGCATGGCCCCAGCTTCGAACAACCACCCAAAGTCCCAAACCCACAGTTAATCGAACCAACTCGGAACATTCTCAAGCTAGGAAATCCATGTGCGCCACTGATCTTAACCCGTTGTGCTTCTTGAGAAGAGGATAGTCTGTCGGCTACTTCAATCGTTACCCAGAGACAGAGGCTCGACAGAGCGCTTAAGCGCCCGAGTAAACCAACATCTGCAGGCCCAAGTTGGTCAACTTTGAGCCCCAAATGCTGCAGGTTAAGTGAGCCGATCCATCTAGGGATCCTCGGGAGCTGAATACCCAATATTTCAAGTCGTTTGAGGCTGATAGGGGTGGGGTTCCATGGCTCCATCACGAAGTTCATGGACTCTTCGTTGGTTCCTGCAGTCAAAGAATTTAGGCTTCCTGTACCAAGTATACACAGAGATGAGGCCAAATCTTTGGTAAACACATCTGTCCACACCCTCAGTATCCGTAAATTTCTTAGCTGACAGAGCTCCTGCATGAAGTTAGGTATCTGACTCCATACTGTGATGTCTTGCAACCTCTGCAAGGCTTGCATGTTCCTGAATCCATCTGGCAAATGCACACCAAAACTAGAAAAATAGATTGACCAACCATGCAGAGCGAAGAATACTTGATGGAAGCTTCTTTATATGAGTAACTCTTAAATCCAGTGTTTGTAAATACTCAACTCTCCAATTTCTTGAGGAAGCTCATTTATCCATGTTTGACGCAAGCTCAAGTACCTTAGTGCAAATAAACCGCATAGGTGTGCCAGACGGTGGGGCTTGTAGTCCCTCACAGCCTTCTAAATCTAAAGCACGCAAATGCTTCAACTTCTGCAAAGATGGGAGGCTATTAAGACTGTCTGGAAACACTGAAACTGCACGGGCATGAGAATATATATCAGATTCACCCGGATCGGTTTTCGGTAGAGTAGTCCCACTTCCTAGAATCGACACCTGGATCCAGGTTTTTGGTAGCAATGTCATCCTCGAACAAGAAGGTGTTGACTGTTGAGGAGGGTGCACGGTGCACCGCACGACAGCCTCCCGCACATTCCGTGAGCGCGGATGGATGATGGCTGTGGCCTGTGGCACGGAGCCACGGACAATCGCCGCGCGGGGCAGAGGAGATGGGGGCCAAGTGCCAGGAAAGCCATGAAATCATCGTGGTACAAATTACACGCCGAGGTCAATCTAATTCAAAATGCAAGTGTCGATTTTGCCAGATGAAATAATCTTGTGCTTTTCTTTATTGGAATGGAAATCCTTGTCAATTTATTTGGCTGCCGCTATTGTTGTGGGTCTCTACTTATTAGGCGGCCCGTTCTCGATGATACGATGAATTTGACCGCCGCGTCCGTCCGGTGCTCATCAAGGGAGCCCCGCATGCACCTGCCGAGGATCGTGACCAACATCCGTGCTCGTTAGACGTGCGTGGCAGCAGACGGCGTGATCGAGATGGTGGACTACAACAAGTGCACGCAGCATTTTGTTGTGTTCATCGACACTTTATAAATCTGGCATCAGAAACTTCATTCACAACATGTACACTCGTTAATGCTGGACGGACGGGGTGCATGCTTACACAAAATATATAAATCTACCACGGGCCCGTTCGGCTGGTACATTTTTAGATGATTTTGGATAATTCAATAGTATTCTGTGAGAGAGAATAAGTTAAAACCAGCTGAAACAAGTTGATAACGTACCAGCCGAACGGGCTGACGTCGACAATCATTCGGGTTGGCTGATAAAACATAAATTAAATAACAATAACATGAACCACATATAAACAACATTACCAATAAATTAGTTATTAATGCAGTGGAGTGCGAAACGCCTTGTCCTTCCTGGCATTTCGTAGCACGCATTTCTGCTTTGTTGTCCTTACCAAAAGACAGTCTGTTCGTTTGATCGTATTCGGCTTATAAGCCATAGATTATCAGCTAACGAACAGTATTTTTCTCTCAAACCAAATCAGTCAACAATACTTTCAGCCATAGCTTATAAGCCAAACTAGCACAAACAAACGGACGAACAGACCGAGGGTAAATGATGTAGCTTGGGATGGTTGGGATGGGAGCTGGCCGCTTTCTCCAGGGCAACCCACGCGGGCTGCTCGGGATCATGATATTTTCTAAAGTAATCACATCCTACGAGAGCAAGACAGGGTAGATGCTGGATGCCAAAATCAAACTCTCCATTGGTGAGAGACCCTGTTTTGCCGTCATCAAACTCGAGATAGAGCTCTTGTAGCTTTGGCATGGCTCCACCTTCGAACAACAACCCAAATGCACAGTCTTCTGAACCGACTACGAACCTTCTCAAGGATGGGAATCCATGTGTGCCGCTGATCTTGACCCGTTGTGTTCCTTGGGAAGAGGAGGATTTGTCGGCAACTTCAATCTCTACGTAGATATTGAGGTTGGAAAGAGCGTTCAAACTCCCGAGCAAACCAAAGTCTGCCATCCCGAGTTGCTCAACACAGAGAGTCAAATCCTGGAGGTTATCAAGTGAACCGATCCATCTAGGGACCCTTGGGACCACAATCCGATAGATTTGAAGTATCTTGAGGCCATGCGGGGTGGGGCTCCATGGCTCCATCACCAATTTCATATGCTTTTTGTGGAAGCCTATAACCAAAGAATTTAGGCATCCCGTACCAAGTGTACACAGAGATGACACCAAATCTTTGCTCACCTCATCATCAAATGATATCTCTAGTATCCGTAGATTTCTTAACTGACGAAGCTCCTGTGCAAAGCTAGGTGACTGATAGCGGACACTGATGAACCCCACCAACTGCTGCAATGCTTGCATGTTCTTCCCAAATCCATCTGGCAGCCGCACATAAGAATCACATAATAGAGTGACCAACCGTGAAAGGCAGCCAACACTGGATGGCAGCTCTTTTATAGAAGTACCCCTTATATCTAGTGTTTGTAAATATTGTAGCTCTACAATTTCTTCAGGAAGCTCATCTATGAATGTGTTACGAAAGTTCAAGTACCTCAATGCAAATAACCTGCCTAGATGTGTCAGATGGTGGGCTTGTAGTTCCCAACACTCTTCTAAATCCAAAACACGCAAATGCTTGAACTTCTGCAGAGAAGGGAGGCTATCAAGACTTCTAGGGAACACCACAACTGAACAGACATGATAATATATTATTTTCTCCCGTGAGTCTACTATGGCATCACTGACCTCATTCCTGTCCTGTAGAGAGAGCCGTCGAATCTTCCTATGTGGATCAACTCTTATGTTAGGAAGGCCAAACAGAGTTACAAAATTCTCTTCCACAGCCTTGGACAGAATGAACTCAAGAATTGTGTCATGGACACGACACCAAATCACATCAAAAGAACCTGAATCCACTGGCTGAATCAAGCTTCTGTTTATGAGCTCGTTGAAACACCTATCCCCAATCTCATATTGGGTGAACCCATGCTCTTCATGAATGAATCCCTCAGCAATCCATCTCAGTATCAATCGATCCTTTCCAATCATATAATCTTCTGGGAATATACTTAGATACAAAAGACAACTTCTTAGGTGGGGAGGAAGGTCAAAATAACTCAGTGACAATATTTGTATCATTCTATTGACATCCGAGTGCCTTTCAAGTGCATGACCAAATGAACATTGAACTTTGTTCCATTCATCTACAGTTGGTGCTTTCCCTGCCAACAAGCCAGCTATTGCTATAATTGCCAAAGGCAAACCATCACATTTTTTCAAGATGCCATCACAAACTTCAGAGAGGTCTGATGGGCATCCCTCTTCTGAACCAAGTATTCTCTTCAGGAACAACGTTCTCGAGTTCTTGGGATTAAGAGGACGTAATTTATATATGTGACCCCGACGTAAAGTGCAGCAAGATTGAGCTACTTCAAATTTACGTGTGGTTATGATGATTCCGCTGGCACAACTATTTTTTATAAAAGCATTTTGAATGGCTTCCCATGATTTCGAATCCCATAAATCATCCACAACAATGAGGTACCTGCCAAATTAGTTAATGAAGTCTATTAGTAAGGACTATAATAAAAAAATTTAATACAAATCAAACAATAGAAATGTGTTTTTTGAGTTGGACCAAATCTCAAATTCATAGCGTAAGGTGAATGTTTGGTTAAAACCTAGGTTTTCTTCCATTCAGGGACAAATACTAATAAAAATAAAATTATATACTTTCCATCAATGCTTTATTATTATATAGGAGACACTAATTTTTATTACTAATCTTATCTTAATGCTAGTAACTTGAGTTTCTTTTAAGACCTTCATGTTACGCCTCACAAAGTGTGCTACAAATAAATAAAAACTTGACCCTAGACATCCACAAGGTATTATAATAAAAAAGAAGCTTCAACTACATGGCCTCAGAAAACCTTCAAACCCTAGGTTCGATACTAACCTAACTTGGACCGACCATGACATCCTGGTTAGTCCCCTAGTAGTAGGGCCAGAACCAACCACATGCACCACAGGCTGGTGATTAGAAATAGATGGCATGCCCATACTTACTCCTAAGTCTAAAAATACGTAGTTCTGGAGCTCTAAAAATATAAAACAAATTAAAAATATGCTTAATCATATAGTGAACGAAGGGTCTATTGGATGAGCTGTTTTCTAGCATACCTTTTATCTTGAAGGAAATCGGATATCTTTCTGATAAGATGTTGCATATCTCCGGTGTACTCCTGCCCGCTAATGTCACGGAGAATAGTTCTCAACACTTCCAACATGTGAGGAGTTCGTGATACTGTTACAAAAGCCTTACAGTCAAATTTATCCTTAAGTGACTCATACACTTGATTCGCAAGTGTTGTCTTCCCTAGTCCACCAAGTCCAACAATGGCGACCACCTTCACCTGATGCTGAGATAAAGATCCATCTTCTATCAACAAGTTGATCAACTCATTCTTTTGTTCATCAATGGCCACAAGCTCTGACGCATCCTTAAAGATAGCCTGAGCCCGAATATCAATCATCTCATGTGAATCCTTGGTGGTCATCACACCAGTCCTATATCTGTGATTCCTGTCTCTCACCTCCCTGATCTGTGTCTTGAATTCCTGTATCGCCTTGGAGATCCGTTTATGTGCCTTCATCTTATCCAGCAACTTCGTACACTTCTTCATTAGGCTCTTCTTCTTAGCAGATTTGTCATCATCAATACAAATCATAAAGTCATCAAGACTGTCCTCGATGTCGTATGACATCTCCCTCACATCTGTCATCCATATCTTGTCTTGGTTGTCAGGATTCTCCTCCTCTGACATCTTCTCGAGGAAGGCATGCATGCAATTAAGTTCATCAGAGAGAGACTTGATCTCCTTGTGCACGTATTTCATGTTCTTCAACTCATCACCAAGCAAAGTTTCCAGCTTCACAGTGACAGCCTTCAGTGCCCCCGTTGCTGCGTTCACCAGAAAACCTTCCATCTTTGATTTTGATTGCTCTATCCGTCCCGGCCCCTGGTGTGTTGAACAACAGGATGGTTGTCAGAATCGCACAATACTAATATGATCGAACCGAAGCCGAACGATACAGAATCACACTACTGATTGAGTTTTGGTAGAATCGCGCATGGAATAGATCCTAGCTAGAATGATCAGAGTCGCACATGGAACAGATCGTGGCTGAGACTTGTTGACCTAAATCAAATATTAGAATTACAGACTTTTATGGGTCCTCAAAGTTAGTCACAGAACTCAATAACTATAATAACGTATGGATAGTTTGAAAATTAAGATTATAATGTATTTACGAGTAAATATTTTTGTGCTTTACATAGGAGAAAAAAATATATCAAAGGTCTAATTTAATTTGATACAGGCTTAATAGAACATTATCGTATTATTAGTGACATTAACTTTTGTCATGAGTGTCATGATCATAATAAGTTATGGTTTTAAAATTTTATAAAAAGATAAAACATAAACAGATAACTAACATTCACGTTCTCATTTCCTATGAATACTCGTATCCAATACACGAGCATATTTGTTATATTATAAAAGAGAAGTGATCCTTTGGTTTGTCTTTTTTCTTTTTACTTTCTATAAAGTGTCCCATGCCCTTTGTGAACCGTATATATGTGACCTGAACTAACAATTCGTGCTTATATGTGTGTTAAAACAACTCGCGTTCAGCAACGATATGAAGTTCGATTCTAATAGATATTGGCTTTCGTTGCAAAGTACATACACGTTTGCTAGTACATATAAAGTTGGTTATATAGTGTCTCCTATGATTAGAGCCTTCGTAAAGCATGGCTTAACACTTAACAGACTTGTTATGCACATGGTATATACTACATCGGATCGGTTTTTGATAGAATCATATCGAACTTGGATCGCAAAACAGATCCTAGCTACCAAATAAACGTCGATCAGAATCGCACCTGGATCGTGAGCTCGTAGGATCCTGAAAGAAACCTCGGCCACCGAAGGCGTTGACGACGTCCGCCTAGCAGTCAATGAAGGAACAGGCGCTGCCGACCTCTCAGCGGGGAACGAGATCACCTAACTTCGGTGAAAACGACTGCACCTGCAGTCAGGCACATCTGTGCCATTCGTTGCTGATCCGACGACACACCCACCAAAGTGACATGGGCTGCACAATAGAAAGACCCATCATAGGCCACACAGACCTGCTGTTGCTGAGAGCTCCTGTGAATAAAGAAAAATCGACGCCGCCGTCTTCGTAGTTCTAGTCGAGCTGCGCCGCCGTCGCCGTCCGGCCGTACGTGCCATCCTCGTTTTGGTCTCCTACGAGCGGGCGGAGATGTCAGATGCGCTGATCAACGACCTCGCCGGTGCCGGCGGCGGGATCATCGCCCAGCTCCTTATCTACCCGCTCCACACTGTACGTGGCTGACGACGCCTCGTTGCCGACCTTCGCCCTGGATTTCTCGGTTGCTGAAATTTTGAGGTTTTTGTTGGCGTAGGTGAACGCGCGGTAGCAGATGGAGCGCGACCCCTCGAAGCTGGCGTTCAAGGACGGCGCCGCTCGCCAGTTGTACCTGGTCCGCATCCTTCCTTGTCTGAATTTTTTGAGTGATTTTGCCTGATCCTTGCCGGTGATTTAGCCTGAATTTTTGTGTTACTATCAGGTGTCTACTACTACTTCTACCAAGTATTCTGGAACAGGGCAGAGACAAAGGCCCTTGGGCGATCCAGGAGAGGGCTGGGCGATGGGTATCGGGATGCTCCAGTCTCTCACTGTCCAGGAGATTTTGCCTGATCACTTTTGAGTGATTTTGCCTGATCACTTTTGGAATGTAGCTAAGCACCTTGTGTTGACTACTATGTAACTTGTGATTGTATCTAAAGCACAAAAAATCATGCAAATTGTATAGATTGCCATTGTGTTGTAAATTATCCTGGAATTGAAGAAAAAGTAATTGATTGTTGCAAGTTCAGTGATGCACAAAATAGTCTGTTCGTTCAGAGATGCAAGCTCCAGAATGTTCAGAGATGCAGAAATGTTTCAGGAGGCTATTCCAAAAGCTATTCTCCTAAACAATCTATGTTTCAGGAGGCTATTTTCCAAAAGCTATTCTCCTAAACTACTAGAAGTCAGCAATAACATCATCTGTGATTGCCCCCTGCAAAATAAAAGATTCAAAAAAACAAATGAGGAATGTATTGATGGCCATGTATGGTTTAGAAAAATGGTGTATTAGATTGAAATATCACCTTCAATATCTGAGAGAAGGTATTGATGGTCATGTATGGTTCAGGCATTTCATTCATTGTCGTGCAACAGCGAAACGTCTTTCGATCTCCCTGTTTGCTTTGGAAGTTTGCATGCAACTAGTAGCTAGTGAATTGACGTGTGCTAGCTGATTTTTTTGTGTCTTGGAAACGTCTTCGCAGGGCTTGAAATTTTTTTTTGTGTGTGCGCGCGCGCGTGTGTGGAGGAGGGATGGTGCTGGCTATATTATAGCCTCCAAACCCCTTCCTACGCTACACCGCAATCTAAATGTTGTTCGGAGCACTCAGCAGTGAGCCCTGCATCATCCACTGCCCTTGCGCTCACCTGGACCCATACATGACCATCAATACCTTCTCTCAGATACCTTCCCACACATATTCCCACACACCCAGAAAAGCTAGCATCGTGTTCAGTGCTAGTCCACAACAGTGCACACCACCTTCTTCCACAGATCACGTAAAGACAGCAGAAACCTGTGCAGAGACGGGTGGCGCGGGCGATATTTACCGGCCTCCGCCACGCCATCAGTCAATGTTCTGGTCGTCGCCACGCTATCTCTGTAGCTGCGCCACGTGCGGTACAGGCGTTTCGTCGCGCCAGAAAAATAGACGTGACCAAAAGTGTTAGTTTTAGAAGAAAAAATTAAAACGGTGTTAAATTTAAAATTAGTTTAAAAAATATGTTAAATTAATCTCTAGAGGTAGTTTACAAGAGTAATTAACCCATGGTTCCTATAGCTGTTCGTTTATATTGAAATTTGGCTTATGCTAATATTTAAGTTGAAATATTATGAGAGAAAAACATGATTCTACTGTTGGAAAGCAGCTCAAGCCAAGAGGATTGAAAGGATAACTTAAATGCATCACAAGATAGCAGTGGATCAATTGTGGCAAGCAACCATACAACCACACGGCTTTGATGGTGACCGAATGCTCATGCGCGTTCACAGGATTCCGAATTGATGCAATGCGCGTTCACACGGCAGGACGATCATTGTGCGGTTGTGCCTGCCCGGCCTGACGATGTCTGGCCATCTGCAGCTGCGACGAAACGCGGGGGCGACCTCGGACAGACACGCCGGCCCGAGGGCCACGGCCGGCTGGAGGTACGACGCCGTCCCGTCCGTGAACCTCCGCGCTCTTCTGTGATTCTCCGCGCGCACTCGCATGGAGTCGCTGATGCTTGGTGCCTTGTCGCTGCAGCAGCAGCACCTCCTCTTCGGACGGTAGCGTGCAACGTCCGTCCGCACCATGGCCTCCACTGCGACGGTAGCAGTACTGTAGCACGGAGCCGGAGAAGCTCGAAAATCGTGGCTCCATCATTTTCTATCTCGAAATCCAAAACGGCTCCGTGCTACAGTATATAATGACTTATTCTGCGACCAGCTACAGAACAGTATCTTTATATATATATACACACACAACTAAAATATTCATAAGAGAATTGTTGACAGGCGTGCGAAACAAATCATCGCTCGCCCCGCTCCCTTCGTGCGAAACAAAACCTTGGCCGCTCGCTCGCTCAGTCTCGCACGTGAGACCGCCCGACGCTCCCCTCGGCCTGTCGCTCGCTCCCGTGTCATCCTACGGAAAAGGAAAGCCCTCAATCACAGCAATCCCCAATCCCATTCCGCGCACTCCAGAGCTTTCCTTCCCATGCCGCAATATCTCTTCCCCTCCGGTAGCTAGAGGTCGCGCTGCCATCGCCCGCCGGACTCGCTCCCGGCGCGCCGCCGTTCTCCGCGCTTGCCCTCGCACCCGCGCCGTCGCCGTCGAGCGTCGCAGCCGCTCTCGCCAAGCCGAGGGGAGCCAGTCGACCAGGGCGGTGGACTTGCCTTCCTCCGACGTTCTCTCCCGCTGGCCTCGCTCCTCGCGCGCCGCCGTTCCCTGTCCTCGCCGTCGCACCCGCACCATCGCCGTCGCCCTCATTCTTGGCATCGCACGCCGTGGCCGCCCTCGCCATTCTCCGCAGCGCCTCAGTTGGCTTGGGCGTCTGGCGCCAAGCCCACAGCGACCTAGTCGGCCAGAGCGTCAAGCGCCAGGCACCCAACCACCAAGCGGATGAGCAGTGCCCCTGTAGGCTGCAGCCTAGCCCTTCTGTGGTTCTGCTCTTGCTCGGTTGCCCCCTGCTGCTGCACAGTGAGCCATACAGTGAGTAATTTTACTAATTAGTGATTTCAGTCCATGTCACAGATCACAAGTCATGTGTTAATACTTGACCATTCTTATAAAATGAAATATTTGGTCATTTCGCATCTCTTGTATTATAACATGACTTCTGTCTTCTTTACAGTAGTTTTTCTTGAGTTTACATAATCCTGGAGGGGGTAGGCTATGCTTTTATAATAGTTTTATACCATTAGATTAGATTATGCCAATTTCAGGAATGGCTGTTTCTAGCATACTTCTCTTTTTTCTTAGTTGTTGTGAAATGACTGGAGTCATCTTTTATACCATTAGATATTTTTTATTGTGTTTAACATTATCTATCCATCCATCTCGCATCCCTTCCCCGCACCATAAGGTGATGTCAAGTAATTATTTTTATCATGCGCTCACTGAATTTATTGGGTTTGTTTTGCCTCTTTGATTAACAGCCATAATAAGATATAGAATTGATATGTCCATATTTTGTTTACAGTTGAGCAAATGACTCTGAAAGTCAAGCATTTTTTTTTTTAAAAAAGCAAACATCCATCAGCTGTTGTACACAAGGTATGCAA